TATATTTATACAGACAGAGAACATGAAAAGGTGGAAGTAGCCATGCCAACTGTAAGAGGCATGGCTACTTCCACCTTTTCATGTTCTCTGTCTGTATAAATATAAATATCTTCTTTCTGTGTGTTCCAGTCTGCATCCGATGAAGTGGGCTGTAGCCCAGGAAAGCTTATGCTCTAATAAATTTGTTAGTCTCTAAGGTGCCACAAGTGCTCCTGTTCTTTTTATTGCTTTTGTATCTCAGTCCCTTTCTGGCTATTGCCTGACAGGGATAATGTGGCTCACAAATATTTTTGACAGGAAATCTGTTTTGCCATTGGTGAGGGCCAGGATGAATTAAATGACATAATTTTTATAACGGAAGCAAAAAAAAAACCAAAGGCCTACAAGTGTTATATTTCCTCTGGTCTGCAAATTATTTAAATCAAACCTTGACTGGGGCACTAGAAGAGGAAGGTTGGTGTAACTGGCGTGAGACATGGGACTGTTTCGTGGCTGCATTCTTCAGAAAATAAATGGATAAAGGAATTTGTCTGTAAGTCATACCCCGGTAGAGAGGAGAGTGGCACGGCAGTCGGGACAGGTGCAATGCTAGGGTTACTTCACCAGCAATTTCAATGAGATGCTCCTTAGAGAAGTGAGGTTTTAACTCACGAAAGCTTATGCCCAAATAAATCTGTTAGTCTTTAAGGTGCCACCAGACTCCTTGTTGTTTTTGTAGATACAGACTAACACGGCTACCCCCTGATACTTGATCCTTAGAGAGAACTGACTATAAAGGGTGGGCAAGTCACGTAACCTCCGACAGTGCGGATGCAACGAGAGGGGGGCAGAACTTTCCACACCGCCGCAGAGAAGAGCAGGGGCCGTGCTGCTGACCCCAGGGAGCAGAGATGGAGCAAAGTCACCCAGCGCCAGAGGGGGAGGCCGCTGAAGGAATCTGACAGGCGGGCCAGACACCCCGGCCTCTCCCCTTCCAGCAACCGAGACCCGGCGGGCCTGACACACCCTCCCCCAGCGCCAGAGACGCCCCCGTCAGTCTCGGGCTAGATGAAAGTTCCGCCTCACTAGGCCCGGGCTTGATCCGTCTCCATCCCCCCACCCCCGACACGGAGACCCCTCCCCCCCTTACTTTTTGCCCTGTCCCCTGCGACAAGCTTCAGCGGCGACTGCGGCTTCTATCCCGCAAGGGTTAAAACCGGCCTCCCCGTAAGAACAAGCGGACGCGCTGTCGCTGCCCCGATTGAACAAGGCCCGGTCACGTGGCAAAGCTGGGCCAATGGAAAGGCGAAACATCCGCTGCGGGAGAGGCAGGGAACCGCTAGCTGGCGCCATCTTTGGTCCAGGCAACTAGAAGGAAAGACTAGGAGGCAAGTAGCCGCGGGCGCCATCTTTGTTAATCCCCGGGCAGCAACCGGCGCGCTCCGACAGCCGTCAGGGCGACTCCGCCTCTGGCCATGGCGGGGGCAGAGCGGGGCACTGGGAGACCCCACCGCGCTGCACAGGCCGGAACAGACACCGCTGCCAGGCCCCGGGGGTAGGGCTCCGCCTTCCTCCCCAGCCACACTGGCACCCCTGCCCCCTGCGGTGCTGCAGAGGCGGCGAGAGGGCCAGCACAGGACCCAGCGCCATACCCGGGGGGGCCTAAGGAGGAATGTTTTTGCCTTCCGCCCCCCACTTAATAATGAGCTCCCTTGAGCTGCTTGAGGCCTTAAGCCATTGCTTAGGCTGCTTCTAGCGAGTGCTGGCTCTGCTGGGCCTGTTCCGTGGTGCTCACCACTGCACCAGAGTCTGATCCCGTTCAGTTAGACTTGGTCCAGCTGCACTCACACGAGCACCCCCATCCTCTGCTCTTCCAGAGGCTGCTGCCAGTCAGTGTAGCTTTCAGTGCTCTTTCTGCAGTTGTGCCCTCCGTCCACAGCCCCCTTTCAGACTGAGCCAGTAGGCCATGCAGCACTGATAGCAGAACACCTCAGAGCCTAAGTGAGCATGGACTGCCCTCCAACCATCCAAAGGATACATCAGAGAAGGTCCAGATTTATCCTGCCCCTGCTGAGGCTGTTAATCGTGTCCACCGCTCCAAAATGCCCAGCAGCAGCAAGCAATATTTGGCTGACTCTTCAAAGCTGGTTGTCCTTTAGGTTCTTTTGAATATTAATATGTCTCATTCCAAAAAACTACAATCCTTCATACCTACTCACTGTGCTGTGCCTTGGTTTCAGATTTATTTTCTGGATTTTATATTCAACACCAAGGAGGATATAATCCTTGCCTCAACAACTTGCACTTTAAACAAGATATAGAATATTATGTGCTGTGTGATCAAGATTACGGTTTCAAGTATAGCTTTTTATGTAAACTTAAAATTTGTTAGGTGACTGTTCTCCTAGTATTAGTCATGGGCTTTATGGCAGAAATGATTGAAGGAGGATTTTGCATAGAGAGGGTAACTGAAGAAATTTGAGTTTACAAAGGCTGTGAGAATTTACATTAGTTAGGTTAGTGCACATAGTCTGTACTTATGAATTTATTGTATTTTAAAAATACATTAAAAGAAAGTTAAAGTTGCAAAGTCAAACACTCAGAAGTTAGGAAATATCAGAGTTAAAGTTTCATGTGCAATCTTAGTTTTTCCCCCTTATGCATATCCATTACGATACAGTCCTCAGTACATCACCACATACTATTTTTTCCCACAAGGCCTCTGCCTCATTCAGTGCACAGGATGGAGATTGTACAAAGAATCATGTATAATAGTGAATGAGGCTATTTTCTGTAGAGCCTTGCCACACTTGTTGCAGAAGTTATCAAGCTTCAACCATTCAGGCTGAAATGCAAGGTTTTATAAAGGAAAGACCGATACCTGCAATAAGAATCTTATAACAGAGCGCAGGGTAACTTTAACTATAGGTATTGCTACTAGCTCTCCCTATTGTATATTGATACGCCAAAAGCTTCCAGATGACTTCCATCCATGTAATCAGTATTATACTTGTCCCTTACTTTCACGTTTGTGTGGTTTTTTGCATAGATATGGAAAGACTTACTGAGAGTTGAGATGGCACTTGAAGAATTAAAAAGGCTCCCAAGTAAGCTTTTTAATCCTTGACAACTCTGCCCCATTAAAGTATGTTTAATAATTTGGAAGTAGACTCAACACTAGTTGTTTTATTTTCTTCATGTGCTTATATGATCATTCAGTTGTACCCTACAATGTATGTGATGTAAAGAGACAAGACCCTCAACTGCTATCTGTAGAAATTACATGGGGAGAGGTACAGTGTGTGTGTTAATGTTTCCTCATTAACTGAATAGCTGGCTGGAGTAAAATGTACCATGTAACATGGTGTTTTGTTCTTACAGAGGAGATAAAGCCAGATGTGTATTTTGAACAACTTGTTTTATACTACAAAGAAATAAAACCATCATAGGGCAAATTATTTTAAATTCTGTAAGCCACGTAAGCCATTGGGGAAAAAAGTATCTGAGGAGAAAAGGAAAAAGTCTACTACAGTGATGTGTTGCACAATTATTGAAAAGGTTTTCCTATTCAATTCTAGGCAAGTTTTACATAGTGTTTCAAACACTAATCCTACGTTACTATCAACCATCTATTTACAAAAGCACATCACCAGTTGTAAATTTTTTGCTAAAGTGAACAAAAGTACAAAGTACAATGCTGATATGATTCCCAGTCTCAAAATCATTATAATTTATCCTATATATAAAACATTATTTTCAAAAACAAGACACTTTCAGAGAGCTAGGATAGCCCTATGATGCAAACTTGATTTTTGTAAAGTAGCCAGTTATCACTTTATGTTCATAATTATTAGTTTAACTTGAAGATTCATCAGTTCATATGAGCCATTCAATTGCTACGAAGTTTCATAGCTCATTGCTGACAAACTACAGCCAATCTTTCATCAGCCAAAGTAGCCAGAAAAATTCTCCTAATAAGGGAGACAAATACGCCCACCAGTGGCTAAATGCTTGATTGAATTTTGCAAGGCAAGTCTTTATATAGGTGTTGGTTTTGCTGCATGAACGCATCCTGTGCAATCCCTGTAGCCAAGGCTTAAACTAGGGCCATGCTCTTAAAGGACACAGTTCTTATGATAACCCAAGGAAGTTCCTGCCCCCCAAAAATCCAAGCCAGTTCAAAATGTGCTAAGCTGCTTTCACTTGGCAGTTACTGTGCATATCTTACAGGACCTCTCTTTTTCAAGACACAAAACTAAATGCTGAGGCCTCAGCATATAGATCCATCACTCTAATCACAGAGCTGATTATCAACAAGGATAGTACAGTACTATACAGTAGTGGAGTCACCCTTGAAATTTAGATTCCTGCATGTTTCTTGAACTTCTTGTCAAGGTGTTCCAGGAAAGGCAAACACCTACATTTTCTTCTGCTGGACCATAGAAGTAAGATCTATAGCTTGGCTGTTTACCCACTACCAGAGTTTGGGCTTTTATTTTGTGATTTAACTAGCTAGAGAAGGTGGTTTCTGCTGGATATTCCAGCAACCTGCAAAACTGGACTGCCTCTCCTCTAAAAAAAAGGCCATTATAGACCTCTTAACCACTAAAACATGGCCTACCAGTCAAATAAAGAAGACTGCCCAAATCTACACCATAAGAAGTTTTCTGTTTTTAGAAATTTTGTGCTTTAGTTTCTCAAAACAGATTAGCAGCCCTGTTTGGAAAGTAAAAACAAATAAAACAATGTTGACACATTTCATTAGTATATGAAAAGTGGGCTAGCAAGCTGATGCAGAAATCCCTTGAGTTCACATATAAGACTGGAGATGTCTTTGTAACTAAGGTCTCAGGAACAGATAGACATAAAAGTACTCCATTAGATCACAGCAGCTGCCAGGTTAAAAAAAACACAACTATGTTGGCAACACCTAGAGGTAGACAGACAACCCTTAAACTGGCAAAAGTGAACCATTTATAATCCAAAAGCAGTAACTGGCTACTTTTACATAATCTAAGCATGAGGCCTCGCCAGTTCTTCAACAGAGGATTCTGGGTTTACATATTAACTTGCTTTGCTTTTACTATGGCTATCTGGATGATTTGTGAAAATTGCCCCTACATTTCAACTAAGTTATTCACACCTTCTTTGCAAGTCACTTGTGTCGGCTGGGCATAAGTTTTAGAGCTGGGCCTGCCCAGTTCCTCACGGAAAACCTCTCTCTGAAAGATTTACCATTCACATTAAATACTTAGAAGCATCTTCCTGTAAAAGTCTACTTGTCTTCCAAACAGCATCCAAAGTAGTAGCAACTAGATCTCAGGTGTGAAAGTATCTCATTGTATGTTACTAGACAAATGGCACAGCAGACTACCCTTTCCTTCACCGGAGAAAAAGCAGTAGCCACGGCAGGTTTTGGTCTGAACGCTTCAGTTTCACATCTCCCGATTAGTATTTGTTGATGCCAAAGATTCTCACACCATGAAGCTGTGGCAACTTGGGGATAAGCACACTCAAGAGAGAAGCTGTGTTTAGGATGAAGTGTGCTGGATCATACTTGGTATAGAAGCTTGCCAGGAAATACCTGCAGAAACAAAGGGAGTAAAGAGAGCTGACAAATCTTGTTTTTTGTTAAATGAAGAGAATTTTTAAAAATTGTAAAGTCATCAGGAGACTAAGAAAGGATTCGGGGAGTGGGGTAAGGACAGATCAGAAACATTTCTCCTGCTTTAAGATGCTTTTATACTTTCAGCAAATTATGGCCCCAGTATCTTTCTCCCACAACCCTTAGGGTCAGGGTTTTGAAAAGCAAAAGCTAGATTTTCCCTCCCCCACCCTTTCAACCTGAGGTCCTTAAACTCAAAAGTTACAAGGCCAGCTGAGAACTCAGGCACAAGGTGTTATTAGTTTTATATTTTAACCTAAATCAATTTCTCATAAATATTAATTAAACTCAGTGACAAGGCATTTGAAGTACTCTAAAGCAAAGAGGTTGAGTATGGCTGTGATCAGTCAGCAAAGTATTAAAAAAAGCCTGCAACCCTTTTGATGTTTCCATTGCAAGTTTGCTATTGTAATTTAGCTAGTTGACAACCAGTTCAACTGGAAAAGTTAGAGAGCATGCCATAGATTCCAGTTTTTTGCCAGCTATCTCACACTTTTATTGAACCTGTATTCTCACCCCTTTTTCTGCTGTTACAGTATACGTCTTTGTTAAAAAGAGCCACAAAACAAAGTGATATTGTGAATTTTTTGGGGGTGTGTGTGTGTGTGGGGGGGGGGTTATTCTTTGCCTAAAATGGTGTAATGGAATGTTTTTAAATATTGTGCAAGCCAGGCTTGAAAAATGCTCTCGCATTCTTGCCATGTCTTGCAAGTGGTAGGCTTTCCCTGAAAAAAATGGAGAAGATGATGACATCTGTTTCTTTGTAGTAGTGTTAAAAATTTAAGAGGTTTCTTGCCCAGATGATTTTGAAATAGCCTTCTAAATATGAACCAATTTAGAGTTCTCCTTCCAAGTCTGCAGGCAGCTCAGTGCTGCTGCTGCTACTAACACCTTTTACAAGCTGTAGAAGAGGACAACTATAGCAAGACTCTGAGATGTTTAATTGCTGCAATTTAGCATCCTGAGGATAGAATCAGGTCAATTTCATTCAGCTGATGCTTAGAAAGTCTATGAACAACAAGAGGCAGGTATTGAACTAATCTGAGGTTGGGAGGAGGGGCAGAAAAAATGAGTCTCTGGGATGGGGCAGATTGGCACAGACCTCGTTCCCCTAGAAGGCTAGGGAGGAAAAGGGCAGTGTGCATCCTATCCCTCAGGAGGCTCTGAGGTGGAGAACAGCAAGAAAGACCTTTTCCCCAAGAGCCAGAAAAACAAAACTTGAGGCTTCCTTCTATCAAAAACAACTAGCCATCTTCCATATAAGCCTCTGGAGGCCCTGGGCAGCTGGGAATCCTGGCATGCTCCTTGCTTCTCAGCAGCTGGACACAAGGATAGGTCTCTCATCAGCTCACTGTCCTTGGACCTTGCTGGTGGCTACATATCACTAAATCTGGCTGCTTACTAGTAGATTCAGTCCTTGGGCTACTAGGTGTCTGATTAGTTTTTCAAATGCGGAGTAGGACACGATCCTGCAAGTGCAGCTTAGCACTTTGTAGGATTGGTCCCTTAGTACTTAATTGACTTTCCTTCTATTTGCATATTTGTTGCCGTTACAATTCCGTCAACACTGGTTGGGGTGTCTGAAGTTGCTAATCAATTGTATTTACACTATTACATAACTTGTGTAAATAGAAACAGTCCTACTAGCAGAATGCAAAACTGACATGAAGTGCTATGGATCTGACTCATGAAGAAGTATGGCAAAGTTCATAGAAAATGTGAGATAGGCACTTTTGATGCTTACAAAAGATAAAATCACAAATGCTAAGACTTGAGTTACGGTTTTCAGCATGCACATGGTACTTTATAAGGAAAATGTACTGTTAAGCTTCATAAAGAGCCCAATTCTACAGACCCTTTTGCTTTTTAAAATTTGCTAAATTGGGCCTCTATTTCAATAATGGGGTTCAAAACTGCATGGAAAAGAATGACTGTAAACTAATTTAATCTCCAAACACATGCTCTCTAAATCTATCAAATAGAAACAAAAATAAATTAGGAAAAAGATTTAACAGATGTAAACTCTCACTAATTGATTAATTGAAGGTTTTTATTCCAAATATATATATATTCTATTAAAATTCAAGTACACACAAACACAAGATAGAATGATTCTAACAGTTCAGAACTCACAGAATTATTGGAGAGATTGTGAAGAATTTTCGTGAGGATGTAAATTGTACTCCATAGTCCAGTTGCTCCCAGTGTGTTAGCAGCCTGGCTTTCCCTTGGTCAGGTGTTTCAAAAGGAGTTCCTTTTACTGCATGTAAGAATACATACATTCCCTGGGGAAAGAAATTTTTGTAAAAAGTGGCATTTATTATTATTATTAATGTTTTGCATTACTGTAGCCTCTTCAGGGCCCCATCAGAGATCAGAGCTATATTGTGCTAGGCACAGGTATAGGCACATAGTAAGAGAGTTCGTGCCATGAAGAGCTTG